GAGACCATAACTTAAAAAAAAGAAGTAGGGGTAAGGGGAGTTGCTGGCCATGGAGAGCTCAGTGGTAAAGCCCTTGCCCAGCATGAAGGAGGCCCGGGGTTTGGTCCCTGCCCTGCCAAAAAACAACCAAACCACCACAAAAACCCCTTCCAAATATATTCCAAATTCAGGTGAAGGTGTAGGAGGAGATTTGCTTGATGAGAAGAACACCTTGTGGAAAGTCTTTGACCTTTAGCTTTTACAGCCAAGGGGAGGACCCCACCCTTCTTCCTTTGTGCAGCCTGCCAGCCTGCCCTCTCAGCCTCTGTAGCTCCTTTTCATCAGACTATCCTCTCCCTTTCACAGTGTGCTCCTCTCATCCTCTCTGCCTCCACTCCAGCAGTACCAGCCTTGTCCACCTGGACCTTGCAAACATACCATTCCTCTGCTGGGGACACCCTTCTCCCACATACCTTCCTGGCTGGGCCCCTCACCCCCTTCAACTCTGCTAAGATGTCACCTCCCCAGTAAGACAGTCCCTAGTGGTACTTTAAAAATCTCTGCCTTGTAGTGCTGCTGTGCCTCTTCCCTGCTTTCTCTTTTTCCACAGCAGGAGTCCTTATTTAGTTTATCATGTGGCAGGAAGGCAGGGAGGAGGGAGGGAGATAATGAGAGACAATGAGTGCAACAGTGAAACAAACAAAACAGATTTGGGAAATGTCACCTGAGGTGAGACCAGAGAAGGGTCACCTCGCCCCAGATGTCAAAATGCTCAATGAAATAGTATGTGACCATGTATGGGACAAACTGTACCCCACCCCCCCATTTCTGTAACCTGCTCTGAACAGCATATAAGAAAAGCCCCCTTTGTTCTTGGGGCTCAGCCTTTGGATGCGAGTCCGCTGAGTTTGCAGGCTTGCTTAATAAACTTGCTTCCCAAAAGCTTTGGTGCCCCGTGTCTCTGTCTGAGCTGTCGTACAACAGTCATCCTGCCCACTGAAAGTTCCGTGCGACCGTGAACTGGCAGGGTGTCTAGCTTATCGGGGGCACTCCACCTCTCTCTCCAACCAGCTGCTGTTGCCCTCTTGTTAACCCCCTGGGAAGAGCCTTCTGACCGTTATCTAGTGTTTGTTCCTAACACACATCAGCTTTCTGTTGCCAGTGACTGGCACACTGTCCTTTGTGCCAGGAATACAAAGGTGAGCAGGGTCATACTGGTGCACAGAGCTCACCCTACCCAATAGACAAGACACAGATCCCTGCTGCTGGCATGCACTGCGACCCCTCTCACCTCCCTCCTGCACTCAGACATCTGTTGTCACCTCCTCAGTGATCTAGCAGTGCAAGACAACAGACACGGGTGCTTAATCTCCAGACCTGGCAAGGCTCGCGTTGGTCATTTGTTTCCCCCATGTCTTCATCCACTTTACACATGTAACATGGGATCTGCATAGAGTTGCTCCCAGGGAAAAGACTGTCTTGAGAAATAGGCCTTGGGTGGACTGAGACTGCCTTTTGAGACCCAATCCCCAGGAGAACAAAGGGACAAATGGTGAGGGTTGGAAGGGGATGACTGGAGCTGAGATGGAAAGAAAACTAAAATAATGTGATTTCTGCATCATGAAGAAAGTGCCTCTGTGCACTGTGAAGGGATAGACAAACCTTGTCCAAACTCATAGTCAGCCTTTTGAAGGATAAGTTGGTTGTTCATTTAAAAAATGTTGCTTTTTGAATTTTTGCTTTTTGAAACAAGGCCTCACTGTGTAGCACAGGCTGGCCTCCAAACTCAAAGTCTTCCTTCTTCAGCCTCCTGAGTGCTGGGATTGCAGGCATGAGCCACCACACCTGGTGTGAGTTTTTAATTGTGGTAAAATGCACACAAAACAAATTATGCCATGTTAACTATCTTTAGGTGTGCAGCTCAGTGGTGTTAAATGCATTCACATTGTAGTCATTGTCACCAGAACTTTCTCATCTTACAACACAGAAGCTCTGTACTCCTTCCCCTGGGGGTCTCTGGTACCCATCACTGTACTTTCTGTTTCTATGTATTTGACTACTATAGATCATTCATACTAACTGAAACCATCTAGTATTTGTCCTTGTGTGACTGGCTTATTTCATGATTTGAACTCAAGGCCTTGTACTTGCCTGGCAGGCACACTACCATTTGAGAAATCCCCAACCCTTTTTTGGCTTTAGTTATTTTTCAGATAGAATGTCATGCTTTTTGCCCAGGCTAGCATTGGACTGTGATCTGCCTATCTGTGCCTCCCCACTAGTATTATTACAGACGATGCACCACCACTCCTGGGTTATTGATCAAGATGGCAATCTTGATAACTTTTTGCTCTGGCTGGCCTTGAACTGTGATCCTCCCGAGTAGGTGGGATTACAGCAGTGAGACATTGTGTCTGTCCTTTCATTTTCTTTTTTTCCCTTCCTTCCTTCGTTTCTTGGCAGTACTGGGGTTTGAACTCAAGGTTTGTACTTGCCAGGCAGGTGCTCTACCTCTTGAGCCATGCCCTCAACCCCTTTCTTTTAAAGACTGAATAAATTAGTGTTAACTTTAGACAGAGTGCAAGAGGCCAAATATAGATGGTTGTTCTTTGTATTACTTCCTGGTAACCCCTCCATTACGTTAAATGTATGTTGGTTTTCCCTTTGTCCTTTTACTCAACCAAATTCAAGTAGAAGTGCTTTGTATTTACATGGCAGAGTTAGTCTTCAAAGCGTGCTCATTAATGATAATATGAATAACATTGGCTGTTTCCATGGCTTCCACATCTGTTGATTCAGACAACCATGGATTGAAATTATGTGGGAGAAAATGGTGTCTGTACTGAACGTGTACAGACGTTTTATTGTCATTCTCTAAACAGCACAATGTGATCATTGTATCACATTTACGTTGTGTTAGCTATTGAGTAACATAGAGATTATTTCTACAGGAGGCAGTGCTTAGGTTATATGCGAGTACTACACCGAGCCATTTTACATAAGGAACTCGAGCACGTATACGGGTGGTGGCAGGGTCCTGGAACCAACCCCTCCTTGACACCGAGGGTCCACTGAACATGTCGCTTCTCTTTTGACTCGTCTAGACTGACAGCTTCTCAGACTTGCCTTGCTTTTGATGACCTCAACAATTTTGAGGAGTGCTGATTTGGTAGTTACAGAATGGCCCTCTGTTGACTTGTTTAACATTTGTTGCATGATCGGGGTTATGGGAGGAAGATCACAGGGGTAAAGTGCCGTTCTCATCACGTTTCAAGGGAACAGACCGTCAGCATGACTCGCCGCTGTGGAAACTGACCCTGGGCACCTGGCAGAGACGGTGTTTGTCAGGTGTCTCCACTGCCAGTTACTCTGTTTCCCCTTTCCATACTGTGATTCTGCAGAATGGTGCTCTGCAGAGCCCGCATCTGCTAAAGGGTAGGGAGCGATGCTCCACCTCTCTGAGGGCCAAAATTTGGCTTCTTTAACATTTATTTATTTATTCAAATGTGTGTTTATTTCAGAATGAACTCATGGGTATTTACACCATACTGTGTGTTATAACCCAGCATGCTCTGTTGTGTTGCCCAAGTTGTTCCTGCTTTGGCTGTTAGGAGCACCTCTGATGGGCTTCCATGTCCCTCTGATGGGCACTGAGAGGGCCCTTCAGAGGGAAGATTGACACTTCTTCACTTTCCGATGCCATGGACTGCTCCAGGCTCATCATGAATCTTTCCTGGCTTAGGCCTAGCATGAGGCATTTCTCAAGGAGTCCTATATTAGAAAACAAGATTTCACTCTAGACGTGTTCTGTTTCATTGTTTTTAACCCTTTGAACAACCTGTGTTAATTTTTGTGACCTTTCTGTCTTTTCATTTTCTAGTAAGTCTTGAGCCGTGGGTGAAGTGAAGGGGTTAAGGGTGAGGGCTTGAGTTAGAGCACGATTAGCCTGTGTGGACTTAATCCTGTGGTGCCTCAGTCTTCCCATGATAAAATGGAAATGATAATAGCACCTACTTTGTAGGGCCATTATAAAGATTAAGAGTTAAGAACTGAAAAGTGCTGGCTAAGATGCAAAGGTGGCAGTGATTAATTGAGAAAGCCAGGGCAAATCTAGTTGTCCCTTGGGATCTATGGAGAATTGGTTCCAGGAGTCCCTGCATGTCCTCAAACCAATCAGTGCTTAAGTCCCTTCCATAGAGTAGTATTGGGGCCAAACCTGTCTGTATCCTCCTGTATACGTAAGCAAATCATCTCTAGATTTCTTTTTTCTTTTTTGGCAGTACTGAGATTTGAACTCAGGGCTTTGTGCTTGATAGAAGCTCTACCACTTGAGCCACACCTCCAGTACTAGATTTCTTATAATACCTACTATGACATAAATAGTTGCTACATTGTATTGTTTGAGGAATAATGACTGGAAGAAAAGGCTCCATGTTCAGTATAGATGCAACCTTTTTCTTAATATTTTTTTTCCCTCTGTGGTGGGTTGAATTTTTTTTTTCCCTCTGTGGTGGGTTGACTCCACAGAAGAGGAATCTGTGAATACAGAGGGCTGACTTGGTGGTCTTCAAATTATGTGACTTATCTAAGACAGCAGGCTAAAGGGCCTTTGCCTAGGTGTCTTTGTCCCATGACACCCTGCCACCTCCTGTCATTTTTTTGTTTCAGAACATGAGTATGTGATGAATACCTGATATACTTGTGCTCTCTCTGGAATACCAGTGCTGGCACTGGAGTTAGGGGTTCAGGAGTTCCTAGGTAGAAACAGACAACGTTTTAAATAAATACAGTTATTAAGATGTGTATTTTGTGTGTGTGTAGTGCTGGGGATTGAACAGGATCTGGTACATGCCAGGCATGCACTCTACCACTGAGCAATCCCAGTCTGAGACATGCACTGGAAGATACTGAATGTCCTAGAGCGGGATACCGCATGCTTTGTACATGCTTCTTTGGCACAAGTACTGAAAGCAGATTGATTGTGAACTTGACTTGAATCTGTCTTCATTTTCTCTCCTCAGTGGACTTATTGGACGGAGCTGGGCCATGTTGTTTGCCAGCGGAGGCTTCCAGGTGAAACTCTATGACATTGAGCAACAGCAGATAACAAGTGCCCTGGACAGCATCAGGTAGGCTGGCTGGTGCCTTCTGGGAGGAACTGGGGTGGCCCTGTTTCTCTTGGTCTTGTTTTTCAGACCTCAATTCATGATTGCTCCTCTTGATTGGATGGCTCTTGCAGTGCCTCTGAAATGACCAAGGCCAAGTTAAAGGTGACTGGAATGTGATTCCAACTGGAGAAGGAGCTCCCATTGTGAGGAAAGTCCCCTATGCAAGGGGGGAGTATGGAGGAGCCCAATGTGAATGTTCGGCTCAGTCCCTGATTTGTAGATGTCCTGTGTTGTGTCACATAGGGCTGGAGGACTGGGCTTCCTGCACTCACTGTGCTGGTCGAGCCCATGTCCAGCAGGTAATAGCCAGAGCTGCATGGGCATTGCCTTTTAGGAACAGCGCTTTTGAGCTTTGTCTTGATGTATGGTGGAATGATGGCAGCGCCCAAATGAAAACATCCGAGTTTTAGTTACGTTGTAGCACTCTCGTGAGAGAACAGACCTGGAGTTATTTATAAGGATGTAGAAGATGGCGGCAGCTGTGCTAGTTAATGTTCCAAGAGCAATAAAGTGACTGAATGCTGACCACTGAGTATAAGGGATAGTAGTCGGAGTGGGTAGAAGAATAGCAATCAAAGACAAAGACAGAGAGTAAGGGAGGTGGAAGGAAGGGGAGCTAAATTGTGGCAGCATGCTATAAGGCAGCAGCTCTCTTTGCATGGACATCACCTGTGGGGACTATCACTGAGCAAGCTGACATCTCACGTGGGCTTGGCTTAGCTAGCTATTATCCTTCTTTGAAAGCCATCCATGATACAACTTGAATTTGCCTTTTTTTTTTTGCAGCACTGGGATTTGAACTCAGAGCCTCATACTTGCTAGACAGGTGCTCTATCACTTGAGCTACTCTGCCAGCCCAAATTTGCCTTTTTGTGTAGCAAAAATATGCTTACTTCATCTAATTTTACTTTTTGAAAAGATTAATATGTAGGGTATGATAGTAGGTTGTGGGCATTAAGAAATGATATATTCTGGTTCAACTTTATAGTTTCATAGATTCAGAATCTGAACCCAGAGAAATTACTTCTTACGTAAGGTACAAATAGGCAGTGCCAAGATAAAATACCAATTGAAGAAACAAAAACCAAACAAATAAACACACCCAAATAAAACAACCAGAACAAAACCTCTCACACAGACTGGACCGTCTTAGAAGGAAATTGCTTGGCATTTCAGTACCTACTATGTTCCAGGCATGTGTACTAGTAATCTCTCCTTGTGCTTTGCAGTGCTGGGTATGGAATCCAGGGCCTTCCACATGCTAGGCAAGTGCTCTACCACCCAGCTGCCTCCTCAGCCCAAGCCTAGTAGTCTCAGTGTATTAAGTTCTTACAACAAACCTGATGAGGCAGATATTATGTGAAAACTCATGTTTATGAATGATGAGTAACCTGCTTAGTACACATAAAATTAGCAGTAACACATGATTCCAGCTCTGGCTCACTTCAAAGACATGTTAAGCAGCTTCAGCATCTGTCTGTACTATATGCTTTATAAATTCATCAAATATTACTTTTAATGTAATATTTGTTATATAGAAAAGCTAGATCATGGATGTGAGTTTAGGAAGAATAATAATGAACTGAAAACACATGACCCTACCATTCAATATAAGGCCTAGACTGTTAGCAAGACCTCTTGTGTAGCTTTTGGCTGTCATCTCCCTCCCATCGGAAGTAACAGCTATGCTGTATTTTGTATTTACCATTTCCTTGCCTTGAAAACACTTTTACTGTATATATGAGTCCCTTGGCATTATGTTATTTGGCTGGCTCTTGTGCTTGATACAAATATTTTTGAGATTGTTCCAGGTTATTGTCTATAGTCATAGTATACAATTTTTCACTGCTATATCATATTCTACTTTGTGGATTATCTATAAATTATTTACCTATCATCCTCTTGATGAATATTATATCTTTTCCAGTTGAGGCTATCGTAAACAGTGTTACCATTAATATTTTTGCATTTGTCTCCTGCAGGTTCCTACCTAAAAATGACATTGCTGGATTTTTTTTCCTGAAGGGTTTCTGAGGGTATAGACATTAGACCATCCAGAGCTGGATGGACTACTTTCTGTATTTTTTTTTTTTTTTGAACTCAGGGCCTTACGCTTGCTAGGTGGGCATTCTACCACTTGAGCTACTCCATCAGCCCTTTTTTGTGTTGGGTATTTTTGATATAGGACCTTGCAAACTGCCTGGGCTGACCTCAGACCACAATCTTCCTGATCTCTGTTCTAAGTAGCTAGGATCTCAATGGCACCTCACTCTTTTCTATCTTTTAACCTTTCTTTTCCCTGAGTTTTCTGGATACCCTGTGCAGATTTTTCTTCCAGTTCATCAATTCCATTTTTTAGCTTTGGCTAATCTGCTGTTTAAACCATCTATGGAGTTTATCTAAATAATTTTTCATTTTAAAAGTTTGTTTCTCTTTTCTCCAAATATACCTGCTCATTTCCAAGTCTCTTATTCTTTATAGTTACATTTTTTCATATTATCAAGTATATCATAAACAATTGCTTTGTAATGTGTATCTGATAATTCTAGTACATAAGAGTATGTTAGATCAGAATCATTCAAGTCAGATCCTGAGATGAGGGCATCCAGGAAATATTTTATAAAGAAAGCGATCCTCGGAGAAATTGTATGGGATTTGAGGAGATAGGACAAAGGTGAATAAATAAGCCCCTGGTTCAAGAAGGCTCCATGGGAGTCGAGCATAGAGTATCCTGTGGTATGTCACTCCTTGAGTGAGATGCTGCAGGAGCATCTGTTGTTGGCTATGGGCCTTCCTGGATGCTATAAACTTCCAGGCATTTCTGGCTCTGGGTCCCAGGAGGACTCTGCAGAAGGGTAGGTGTGAACCTTTTGCAGCAGGTGCTCCAAAACTGGGGATAACTCATGCTAATGAGAGGGACCCAAAGGGCTCTGGTAGAGCACTGGTGGCCTTCACTGTGGTGCTTCACACTATATTGTGTGGTTTTAAATTGAAAAAAAAAAGAATTTTCTCATTTTTACTTTAATTCATTTGAAAATACTGGCTGAAGGCTGGGAAGCATGGCTCAAATGGTAGAATGCCTCCCTAGCAAGCCCGTGGCCCCAAGTTCAAACCCCAGTAGCACTAAAAATACTGGTTGTGGGTATCTCCTGTATGCTGGGTGCATTTAAGCCTTGAGGATTAAGCAGTAAACACAGTAGATTAAGATTTCTGACTTGAAGGACTCATTAAATGGAGGGAAGGAAGGGTAAAGAAGTAGGTAATACAAAACATGGTATACTAACTAGAATAGGGATTGGCAACCAGAGCCAGCTGGCTAAATCTCACCTGTGGTGTTTTGTGTATAGCTTTTAACAATTCTTAGTATTTTTTAGAAATAGTCTCTAGTTTTTAGAGCAGTTTTAGGTTTTCAGCAAACTAAGAGGAAGTTATAGAGATTTCCCACAGACACCCATCCCCATACAGTGTCCCCACCTTCAATGCCTCCTCCTGTGGTACCTTTGTTATAATGGGTGAAAATATATAAACACATCCTTATTGCTCAAGGTCCATAGTTGACCTTATGTTCACTCTTGGTGTATGTTCCATGGGTTGGATACATTTATACTGATATGTGTCCACCATTATAGTACCATACAGAATAGTTTCACTGCCCTAACACTCCTTTGTTCTCTATTCATCCTTCCTGCCCCAGCTCCTCCTGGTAACCACTAATCTGTTTTTTTTTTTTTTTTTAATGGGACTGACGTTTGAACTCAGGGATTCATGCTTGCAAAGCAGGTGCTCTGCTGCTTGAGCCACACCTCCAGTCTAGTTTTCTCTCCTTATTTTTGGAGATTGAGTCTCCTGAACTGTTTCCCCAGACTGGCCTTGAACCACAGTCCTCCTGGTTTCAGCCTCCCAAGTAGCTGGGATTATAGGCATGGGCCACCAGTGCAAGGTGCACCACTCATCTTTTTATTGTTTATTCATAGTTTGACTTTTTCCAGAATGTCAGATAGTTGGACCCACATAGTTTGTACCCCTTTCAGATTGAATTATTTTACTTGATAAAAACAATTTAATTTTCCTCCCTGTCTGTACATGGCTTCATAGATCACTCATTACACTTCAGCACTGAATGTACTCTGTTGCCTGGATGTAAAGGGCATCTTTGTTGATCCCAAGCTTTGGGAATTACGAATAAAGCTTGCTGTAAATATTCATTGCAAATTCTTGAGTGGATATGTTTTCAACTCCTTTGAGTGGATACTAAGAATCACAGTTGTCAGCTGGAATGGTAAGAATGTATTTGGAGCTGGGCGCGGGTGGCTCACGCCTGTAATTCTAGCTTCTCAAGAGTCAGAGATCAGGAGGATCACGGTTTGAAGCCAGACCCAGGCAATGTAGTTCTTGAAACCGTATCTTGAAAAACCCATCAGAAAAAAGGACTGGTGGAGTGGCTCAAGGTGTAGGCCATTAGTTCAAACCCCAGTACCTGCCCCCCCCCCAAAATATATTTGGTTTGTAAGAAGCCAGTACCATTTCACTTGCCACCAGCAATAAGTGAGAGTTGCTGTTTCCTCACCAGTGCTTGGTGCTAACAGTGTTATGGATTTTAGTGAGACTAATGTGTGTTCTTATTATAATTTGCTGATGCTGTGGGATCTTGATCATCTTTTTGTATGCTTATTTGCCATCTGTATATGTTCTTTGAGTTCTTTTTCTTTTCTCCCTTCTTTTCTTTCCCTCCCTCCTTCCTTCTACCCTCCCTCCCTTCTTTCCTTCTTCTTTCCCTCTCCTCCCCTCTCTCCCATCCCTCTTCTTCCCTCCTTTCCTTTTTTCCTTTTTATTGCTGCTGAGGATTGAACCTAAGATCTTGCACATACTAAACACATGCTTCACCACTGAGTTACACTCCAACCCCAAATTCTTGTATAAAAAAAAAATAAAAAATTTTTGGCTTAATGGGAAATCTTGAA